CCCACGAGTTGATTTCCTTCTCAAACTCCGAGTCGAAGTTGTCGTTGGTGGTGGGTGTCCCAAGTTTGCGGTAGTGCTCTACTAGTACTTCCCTCTTTCCTTTAGAACTGCTTACCATCTTACCCTCGGCAGATCTTAGTGTCGTTATTTCCGTGTCTCCCCCTCTTTTCTTGCCCACTATCCCTTGAATTCCTACCCACATTTGCTTCATCCCCCCCTCAAAATCTTCGTTAGTCTTTTGGACTACTTCCTCCCACAACCCTTTCTTCTTCTTCACGACCAACTCCTTCACCCTCTTTCTACTTTCAACATACTCCTTCCATCCTGCATCTGTTTTCCCTGCCGCATATTTTGCGTGTGGGGGGGGTCTTTGTAAGATGGGGTTGGAGTTGGACGTGTGAAGGGAACGGGTGCCCCCAAGCCTAAACTGTTATTTTAGCTCTTGTCCACTACGCTACTACTCGTGCTGACTTAAGAAGCTCTTCGCGGACCATCTTTCCGTTGGAAACACCACCACGCCTTGCGCCGGATGACGTAACAGTACCCACTGGGACGCACGTTGTCATCGTTCATCCAACCGTGGCAACCCCAACTGCACCCTGTAAGTGTCTACCACCCGTTGCTACAGTTGTTTGGCTCCTACTTCAACGCAAGTATCGCATCAAGGTACGGTTCGTTGTGGCTCTTCGAGGTAGCCAGACTGACTGCCCGCCGAAGCCGTGAGTGCCGGAACTTTTTATGCAGGCGTTGCCGGGGGAGGGGACAGCGCACCGTTCGAACGAGACCGTTATCGGTCATGGCCAAACCACCACACAGGACAAAAAGCGCGAAGGTTTTTCTCGTCGTTCAACCAAAATTTGCTCATCATGTTTGATGCTACAGTAGCTCTGTTTTTTAGAAGCTACTATTATCGCCCCGTCTCCGTTCCTCTTGTATGCGGTCACTTCCTTGCGCCTCTCAACAACTCACCCCGAGGTACTCGGCCACGACGACCTTGATGTCCAACACCCCTCCCTCCTTCAACGTCTCCAGGGCGGACCAGTCGCTGAGGCTGCTGCTGTAGGCGTTCGTGCTCTCCAGGGCAAACTGGCCAATCAACGACGAGATGGGTGGTGGCCGAAACAACGCGAGCGCGCGCGCACATGCACGCGTCACGAGATGATACGTTTTGGGCAGTAGGGGGGTACGTACTCTCATGTTTTGCATGCCTTAACGGTTAGACCATTGACCATGCGTCCTCGAGAGGACGGAACATTGTTTCCACAGGACCGACTACCGCTGGCCAATCGTTTCTTCCACAGGGGGAGGGGTTGAGCGTCATAGAGATGCGTCAGATTTGCCAGGGGATGCGAGGGAAGGCGCATGACATCGGAAGACAAAGCCAGAGCGAAGGAGCAGAGCTATACCGCGCTTTTCGACGCCGGATATGCCGGATAATACGCCTTCAGGAGGGAAGGTCATCGATACAATTTTGACAAACATCTCGTGGTGAAACACTTACCGCCGCGGCACCGCCAGAACTAGCATAACCGAATGTTTAAGGCGATGCTCCGTCGTACGTGAGATATTATGGACACAGAAACAAGTACTTGTCGTAGTATTCGCGTTATCTAGACCGTGCTCGGCGTCACCGAACAGGGGGTGATACAATCATGTTTCGCTGTTGTTGTCAAAAGCCGCGAACCGTTGTCAGCGGGCGTCACACCTGCTTCGGGTCGCCACAAATGCCGTGCCGGGCGGAGATCTCGTCGCGCTCGTAGAAGTTGCCGTTGTCGCACATCTCCCCCTTGTTGTACGCCGCCAACAGCGGCCATTCTCCATCCCCGTACTCGGCCAGCAGTCCCCCGTTGGTGTACCCTATCCCTTTCTCCTTGACGTACACGGGGCCCCCCGAGTCGAGGCAACCAGGGCAATCTTCGAACTTCTCGGCAGTCCTATTGGTTGGCGGCAGGAAGGAGGTCGTAACTCACAGGGGGCGGTCGCGTTTGCCTCATAGGTTTGCCACCAAAATGTACGATCTAGAGCGGAGAGATGGCACTCTCCCCAGACCTCGATTGGCCTCACAACTGAGTGGGTGTGGAGAGCCTTCGACAGGGTGTTTTTTTTAAACCAACCATGTTTGGCGTTGGAACGAGATTGGCTGTGGATTAATCGAGCTTTGAAGATCGGTCTACAGTAGGAGGGGTGCCATCTCGCCGCCTCTTGCGTACGGGATACTCATGTTTTGAATTTGCGCACGTACATGACACAGTTGGTGGCCCGGTATAATGCCGGTGGTTGACAGCCGATTTCACCGGCCACATAGCGGGAGACCGGCATTATGTGGAATCGGCCTCTATAATGCCGGTTCCGGCATTACTGAGGGTCTGAGAATTCCACTTATAACGCCGATACCGGCACTAGAAAGGAAACCGTCGAGTTATTCAGTACGACAACGTGTACTGTAGCACACACCACAAGCATCAGGTGATGGAGGAAAACGACAGTGGATGCTGTGACATGAGGTTTGGTAAGCATTCCGCAATCGAGCAGATTTCAGAGGCGCGTGCATCGAAGGGCCGTATGTTTGCTCATCCCTCCATGCATCTTTGGTTCTACCCCCGGGCCTTTTTTTTTTCACCTCTGGTGCATCCCTGTCCCTCGCAAAAATACACATCAATAATATCCTGTCACGGTGGCATGAACGAGCGCTAAACCCTGAGATTCATTCCATCTCGCGATGGTTTGAGGAGGACTAGGGTACACCTCATGGGTGTACCGGAATCAGTGACGGAACTCACTCCTGGAGTTTCGTCTCAACGCGTGTTTTGAGGTGCTCAACCACTGATAACACGGCCAATCTCGGAAAAGGAACTTTGACCCACTGCCAAGAGCAACCCATCTGTAAGTCGGTGCATGAGAAGGAACAGATCTTGTTAGATCTTACCTAGACCCCCCTTGCTAGCCCCGCCTTGATTAGCCCCCCGTACTAGACCCGACTTGATTAGACCCCCCTTGCTAGCCCCGCCTCGCCTAAAATGTTAAGATCGCCATGAAACTACCCAAAACTAATTGAAACCTAGCCAGTTGGTGTTACGCTAAATAAAGCATGAGAAAACCGCCTTAGTCGATAGCGTTTTCACCACGGTGACAGTACGCAAATATCGAGAAAGAAAGCAACAAACAGTACAAAAATAAAACATGTGAACACACCCACATGAAAGTGCCGCATAACCGACGAACACTCGGCTCACACGGAACAAGAAAAGAAAACAACAGACAGAGGAAACCCAAACAAAAAGTGGTCAGGTTGCTGGTGTTCAGCTAAAAACGACAACCGTACCCCACACACCTACCAACAGGTTCCACCGAACAACCAACCAAACTGCTGATGCTGTGTGTGCAGTCCGTGTGTGCAAGCGATCTTGAGAACCGGCATTATTCACGTGCCACCAACCCCCCGAACCGGTATTAGACTCTATATACCGGCTTGAAAGTTGTGCCAGACGATTTCACCGGCATTTACGGGCAACGGGCATTATACCGGGCCACCTACCGTGCACATGATGGACTTGCCGAGAGATCTGACCACGATATTTTTCTGCACTGTTCATAAATGTTACGCGATGAAAACGGCCTTGGGGCGCAAGGACCACACGAGAATTATGAAAATGAAAGGCCATTGAATGGCGTGGTGGTGAAACCTCGAGGGGAGACCCTGCCCTTTGCCACAGAGGAAACGTGTTTCTGCTCTGGGCAATATCCAACTGTATGTGTGGATGTGGACGGTGAGTGTCCTGTGGGTCGGTCGGTGGTATGCGGCGTATGGGAGGAAGCGGAGGCGTGCGTTCGTATGTACCAATTATTTTTGAACATGGTCTACCGTCTGAACACCGGTGGTTTCAAACCGGGGGGGGGGGGGTCAGGAGAAAACAGGTAGGGGCGCGGATTGGATGCGATTACTTTTACCGAGACCTCACCTGGCACTGGTAGAATTTGGTAGAATACTAATTCCACAAACATTCACACGCGATCGGATCAAAACAAAAGAGACCAAGCAAGCGGCCGGTGGAATGACCTTGTTGAGGCCCAATGAGCGAACGAACGTAGGCATGCGGGTAGAACGGCCGATGACACGGGCTTAACTTGTCCTGCCAATAGAGATGCCGCGGTGCTTGGAGTATCATCTCATCACGTAAGGTGGTGCCAACTCTCCGATCCGTGCACACTCTCGCATGGTATGGATTCATTTTCATGACATGTACTTAATCGTTATCGTTTCTATCGATACGAGAACGCGAATGAGTTGTTCTTTTGGTTTGTTCGTGTCTTTTTCCGAGCCATCGGCGAGGGAACACATGATGATTACCACACAACCGGGTTTATCCACGAGGCACATGTCGATGCATGTATGTACGAAAATCGACCCACTCCGACAAACGAGCAGACAGAGCGATCATATGTATTCAGAGCACGAAATAAGACGGTACTGCTGTACTGCTGTAGACTCTACGCAACAACAGTATGTTGTCGTATGCATATGATGTGATTCAAACGGGAAGTAAGCCCGTTTCTCAAGTCCCCCGGTCCATTGTAGAAGGCAATTGAATCGATCTTCAGAGGTACAGTATTCGCGTGACGGCCGCGATTCTTGTCTAGACAACTGTAGTTACGCTGCACAGCATTGCCATGTAGTGTCGGCCCACCCATAGAAACACCAATCTTGAACCCGCTGCAGCTGGGGAAATATATTCTGAGCCAAGGCTCGTTTCAACCTTTGCACATGAATGCACAGGGCGTACTCTTAGTCGAACGGTTGGGTGATCCAACTGATACACTATTTTGACATGATTCGGTCGAGCACACGACTTGTGACTACAAAAACAATTGCGCATAGATCTCGACAACAAGACCACCACCTAACACACCGACAAGCACACCTACCAGAAATAATTGCACACATTCACTGATCAGCCGGAAGGCAACAAAAGGGGATGGCCATGAACATTTTTTTCCGAACGAGCTCTTCCTGCCTGTGTCCAGAATTTTTGTCCATCGCTCCACGCGTAAATTGCTGCAAGAATAGCTACAGGAGGATACATCACACCACACTCACTCGCTCTGGAAGACCGCGGAGTGCAGGACTGGTCGCGAGGTTGGGGTTAGCACGTAGGTGCCCCCCTCAGCCTGGGTTATCACGGTGGCTGCCGCCAAGAACACCGTCGCCGCCGCTCCCGTCATCGTCAAATGCCCAATGCCGCACAAGCGGAACTACTTAGTGAGAGTTTGTCGGCCGCTGCTGCGTCGTACCCGCTGAGCTGCTCTCGTGCTCTCGTCGAGGAAACCTGCGTGCGATGTTAGGATGCCACCAGTGCTGCTGCTGTTGCGTGTTGCGTGTGTCTGCCAAAGGTAGGGGCCGGGCGCCGGGCATAGAGAGAAAGCTGTTGGCCGCCCGTATCCAACGGCAAGAAAATCAGCTTGCTGACAGAGTATTCCAAATTTCACAGCGGTGGAAAGAATCAGAACCTTTAACGGCCTGCGGGCTGTGACAGGACAATCAACCAGCTCTGTTCGGGGAGCTTCATGCGCCATTTCCAGCCCCCGCATAGCATAGAAAAAGTCAAGTCCCCGCTCCCTTCGCCCAGCTCTGTGTGAGTTCACTTCTGGCTCGTATGAACTCTAGGCTACCAGCACAGATCGACCGACACAACAACAAAAAGGATCGTTTGCGGTACAATTCCGGCCTGACCACACTTACTTCAGTTCGTACCCATAACGAACCAGTCAATCAACGTAAACTTGGTGTGTGTGTGTAAACACACCATCACACATCTGGCTGTGAACCTCAAAGCAACTGATGTGTACTTCCTTATTAATAAGTCGACGGACGCTCTTTGAGGGTTCAAATAATTCCAATCCGCTTCAGGGGAACTTGAAGTCAATCGAGGGCTGCGCGAGATCCAAGATTCTTTGCGCTCTACTACAGTTGTACAGCTCGTCCTTTGCTCTTAGGATAGTAGTGCTGTGCACCGGACGGACAACACTATATAGGTAGAGGAGGGGTGCACAGCAACCATCAACCCCTTCTGTTCGCATTCGTACAATCACTAGAAAACTACTTCGTATCCCGTCGGTTAGAGACATTGCACCATATATGTATGTGTTGAATGAAGGCTTTGCAATAAGTGAATGAGTGGGGAAAGAAAGTTTGTGATGGATGCTGTGGACCAATTTTGAGCCTGTGCCTATGTCAGGAGAAGCGAATGCATACATACACTCCGAAGGTAGACTATGTTTTTGTGTGCGAGGAGGGCCCATCTTGCAAAGTGGAAGGAAGCACCTGGTGCTACCACCAAAAGCTTGGGAGGAAGAAAACCCACTTTCACACGCACTGCTGCTGCTGCTGTCGCTGCATGCATTAACATGATGTAGGAGGTTTGTGTCCCACCGCCCCCACGCCCTACGCTCGCCAGTACCAGCAAGCAGCCTGTTTCATCTCAAGCAGCGTCAAACATATTGAGTTGTCCTACTGAGTTTGCATCAATCGAAGCCAATTGAAGGGGTTGCGGGCACCGCAAGAGCACCGCGCGAAAAAAAAACATTCGCGTCACAGGCAAGCATTTATTTTCATGAACGAACCGCTCATGATGGACAATTACATGTGAAACAATATTCCTTTTAACCAAGAAACGCAACAACAGGTCCTGCACCCCTGCATGTACATCGAAAACGCCTCCTCTCTTCAATCGCGCACGAACAGAGGCTTGCTTAACACACACCCCGCCGTCACTCATTTACACAATCCGCGACGAAATCAACCTTGATTGAGTGGCAGTCTTCGCAAAACATGAACCGTACAGTATCGTCGCAACTTGTGTCGATCCACAACCCACTGCATTACTTCCCACGCCGAACATGGGTCGCCGCAACACAACGGTGCGGGAGTGCGTGCAAGGAACACGTCGACGAGCGGCGCAGATCGTGCATTAACACTCAACATCAAGAAGACACGTACACAGGACCTCGCGTTAACCACCCCGGCACACGATCATCGTATCCACTAAAAAAAAAAAAAAAAACGGAGAGAGAAATCATGCAATGTACAGACAACGGAGAGCGGGCAGCCGCCCAACGCCTGGGAGAGGAGACGAGCCACTCGCACAAAGGCGTACTCTGCAAAAAACAATCATACCACGCCCCGGCGGGCGCCGCAAACGCGACTGTCCTAAGGCGGGCCATTGGTCTCCACCCCAAGACAAGCGACGCGTTTACAGTCAAAGCAATAGACGCGTTTACAGTCAAGGCAATAGACGCCCGGGAGACGGGACGAAAACCTCAAGCCCTCAAGGATTCGACACGTAGGTAGACTCCGAAAGGACCCCAAGCATCTTTCTCTTCCGCTTAATATTGTTTGTGCCCACCCGCTCTGAAAAAATACAATCGCCCTCCTCTCCCCCTACACAAACAAACATCCACAGCTTACGTTGGAAAGTCACACACTGGGTGGTTCACCCCCGATGGGCGCTAACGAACCGGCCTCAGGACGAGGGAAGAGTCACCTCAGCCAGAAAAACATGAGTCAAATTTAAACCCAGCAGTCGTCATCCAAAGACCGGAGGCTTTCGTTCAAAAACGAGGCCTTTTCGCCAGCCGAAATGCATGGCATCTATTTTTGTATTTGTGTGTGTGTCTCTTTCCACGGACCTGGCCAAAAAAGTGGTAGCTGCGCGTGCACACACAGAGAAACACACACACGGCCGAGCGCATCTTGACACCCGCGGCAAATCGCCCAAGAAAACCAATCAATCACTGACCGCTAGTGCCAAAAAAACAAATGAACAGACAACAGCACCAACACACAGAACGACTACAACAACGAGATCACAAACGACAACGTCATCTCTCGCACCCAATCGATGCCCGGGCTGGCGATAAACACCGCCAGGGAGTTAGAGAAGAACGAGCCGACCGAAAATCCAATCAAGACTATTTGGTCTACCAGGGACCTCTCGGAATCGATGTCTTCAGCAAACTGTCGACAACAGTCCAACTCTTGTCCTCCGCAACCAGCGCTGGTATCTCAATCGACACTGCAGCAGTCGACTCCCTCAGAACCTCACTTGGAACACTAAAAAACATGAGTGTATCAGGTAGCTAGCGCTTGCTTGGCGGGTTGTATCCCGATCTTGGGAGAGAACGGAATACAAGAGAAAAAAAGGCCCGGAAAATCGGGGCTTGCATCGATGGCTTGCATCGATGACATCACCAACTAACTTAACCGTCTCTGTTCCGTACCACACTGAACGTCATAACGCTACACACGCTACAAGTAGATACCCTGCTACTTGTACGGTATCGACGAATTTCGTACCCCAAATCCCCGTTTGCACTTCCCAAACAGGCTGGTGAAGCACAGGCAGTGCCGTCTGATATGACACCCCCAACAATGAAAGCTTGACTTCAAGTGGGCGACCATGTTGCCCGTAAAATAAGCGTTTGTCGTTGTACAAGGCGGCACGCACGAAGGAACTAGCTTATATTCCCACACTTCCACGCGAGGTCAGTCGCGAAGTGATCTTGGTCATCTATGGCCCTAGTTAGATACTGCAGATGCGCTGGTGCTGCCGCCACCAGCAACAACAACAACAACAACAACAACAACAAAAACTTCCGCAATCAAAATCTTACGGCTGAAACACTTCCCACACAAAACCCTCAAGCTCAGCCAAAACAGGCGGAACGCTCCAAACGGCAATCCCGTAAACCTATCTCAGATCGGAAGCGCGCGCGCACTCACGACCCCCTATCATACCCAAAAGATAAAAGACAAGAAACAGACAAATAGGCAGGGTCTCGACACACACGGCGAAGGCATGCATGCTCCTACCGTCGGGGGGTTTCAACTCCGAGGCCTCACCGGGGGTCTGGAATCTCCACCCCCGCCTCCAAGATCAAGCCCTCCCTTCTACAACTACGCCGCAGAATAGGGGGTTACATCCTTGCCGCCGTTGACCCCTCTATTTGGGCGGCGCAGACGCCCCCCAAGGCTGAAATATTGCTTTGGGAGCCTGGGGTGCAGCATCCTCTCCCGGTGGTGCGTCTGGGTCTGCTCAACAGGTAAACAAGCAAAAGTGGGGGGGGGCGTACTCTTATGTTTTGCATGCCTCAGCGGTTAGA